CTGGACTTAAAGAAAAATTCTTACAGGGAAAAATCACTTTGCTACCTTTCAAAATCAGTTACTACTTCTAGGAGACTGAAAGTTAATAGAACAGGGTATTAGAAGTGTGGGGACCAAATCGTGAAGTAAAGGATAGAGAAGTGACAGCAAGGTGTTGCTCTATCATCTGTAACTGGGCTAGAAATTGCTGAAGCATGAGATACACAGAATATTGTGCAGTGGTTGCAATCTGGTTCAACAAAGTCATCAAAAGAAAATGTGTCTTCCCTAGCTGAACAACAAATTCCTGAAAAAATTAGTAAATTAAAAAAGCTGGGATATTAACCAGTTATGGGCAGGTTTTGATACTTTGTATAAGATAGCTTTGTTTTTCTGTGGTATTATATATCAGTTTGAGGATGATTAATAGTAAGTAGCTATAGATACAGAGAGAAAGATGCAAGGCTTCCCTTCTACTGGGAATCTCAGTCCTGTAAATCTGTTTCCTGCTTGTTCCAAGTTGACTGAAAGTTCCAGTTTTATAAAGACAGTGCGGACTCATCTTAGAGTCAGAGAGTATTACTTAAGCCTTAGTCCTACAATAACATTGACATGGCTTTGTACTGTAACGCTTCGTTTTGTGTATTCATGCATAAGGCTGATGCAAACAAACTCTACCTACAGTTTACAGCCATACAGAGTATATATATTTTGTGTGGGTATATATATGTGCTATTTATGTACTCTGTATACATGCTGTAGTATAGTTTAGCACGAGACACTAAGAACTGCTGATGACTTCTAAAGTTAGGAAAAATAAATCTAGAGGCCAGTTAAGTTAGCTTGGAATGCCTGACAATCGAGCACATACTGTGTTGGTGCTTTGTAAAAATAGGTTCCTATTTTTGTCTCCAGACCTGGTCAAACTATAAGATACATCTTTTAAAATGGCTTACTTCTGCAAACACTCTTGTTTTGAGGATTGTCGGTGTGTCAGCACTGTCTGTCTATCAGAGAAGTAGGAAAGGAAAAATTTTTACCTTTCTTGAGTGCAACAGTGTTAATTTTTTTTCCATCTACCTGTTTGGACTGGAATAATCTCTGGAAACCTGTGTATTTAAAACAAAACAAAAGGTGAATGAACTGGCTTTGGGACTCCATGTTTTATCTGTGAGGGAGCCGATGAGCTATTTTTAAGAAGAGTTTCCAGTGAGTTTCTGTCTCTGTAACACTGGAAGATCTAATATTTCCTTTCTAGAGGTAATGGCAGGATTTTGATTCAGTCAATGAGAAATGCACAAAGGTGTGTTTAAACAAATTCCTTTGATTCAGTGCCGTTCTGAATTCACTGGCATACCTTCTCAGTGGTGTTTAACTTGCTGTACGTGTGTGTAAGGTGACCTTTAGTACAGCTCTATGATCTAGTGATGTGTTGTTTGTGCTGACAAAGCCGTTATCCTCAGTCAGGCATTTTTTCCCAATGTGTGTTTGTGTCTCTCTTGTGCTGTTACACTTGTGTAGGTTGTCAGCTCAGAGGTATGGTTAAAAGCCTGATGTGGAGGGAAGGGGCTGGTGTTCAATTTCTGTCAACTTAGCATTTCGTAGAGTAGGCAGGGTCCGCTTTTTATAACAGGTGATCCACGCTGATGGTAAAGGCTTATCTGTTCAGAAGAAGGTACTGTAGGGGTGCAGTGAGGGCTGGCTGCTCTCTGGGGCAGCAGCCTCACCAGCCAGGGCCCTGTCCCACTGCCCTGCGTCAAGATGAGCCGGGCATGCCTGGTGATGGTAACCGGGTTCAACTAAGAGTCCAGATCATCAGGAATGTTTGTGGTGATGTGGCAGGTCAGAGGACAAGCTGGGAAGCCAGTCCATGGATCGGATCAGGGTAACCAGGTGAGAGACAGCCCAACGACACCACAGAAGCACCATGGTGGCAGGGCAGGACTGAGCTCTGGAGGTCAGCCTGTGGGCTGAGGTTTGGATCGGGGGGCCTGTGGCCAGGCTAGGGGGCAGCTGTGGCTGAGTTGGAGACCGACACTCCTATGATCTAGCTCAGACAGGGACCGATAGTCCGATAGTGAGCTGAACTGGGGCCCCAAGGCGAGGGGACGATGGAGCCCACAGCTGAGGCCTTTGAGGCCTAGTAGTGCTCTCAGGGCCCTGACCGTTATAAACCTTCAAAACGTGTGTGAAAGTAGTGTTATCTGGGAAGAACTGACACGGCTGAAGAGCAATGTGGCAGTCCATATCAGCCCCAGATCTTTTTCACTTTCTTGTCGGTTAGGTATTTTCTTCCAGTAAAGAAGACTACACAGTACTTGTGAAATATGTAAACTGGAGCCTCACCCAGATAAACAGTGCACGAATGCGCTCGGAAGAGTTTGAGCTTTGTTGTTATCTTTGATTCTCCAAATACACGCAATTTGGCAGTCACTTTGGCTGAAAGCTGAATACTAAAGCCCAAGTTTAAGCTCTGGTAAAAGTTAATGCTTTTGTCTGCCAGCCCTATAAAAGTATGAAAAAGTGGGGGTTTGCATGTCTGTGTTTTTCCAGGATGTAGAACTCAGTTCAATGACAACTGTCTCTGCAAAGAGTGAGCTAGGGGACTGCAGCGCACTTTATTTGAAGCTGCCTTTGTGAACCTCTGATGACTGCAGCCGATGCAGAATATGGCAGAGTGATTTATAGCCACAGTGATGCCTGGATCCCAGGAGCTGTGCTGATATGAATACTCAGTGAACAAGAGCTGGCTTCCTGGGGTATTGTGCTGTCAAATATTACGTGTATTAAGTGTGATAAAGAGCAGATTTTTTTAATTCCCCCCCCCCGCAATACCCTTACAGCTTCTTTAGGGGCTTTCCAGGGCTTGCAACTGAACAACAAAGTAGTGATTAATTTCATCAGGCTAAGCATTTATTTATTTTTAAAAGTGTTATTGAACAAAAGTGAGGCTCTTCATAGATGAATTTACCAATAACAGGATTCTGAAACTCTACACAATATTGTGTGAAATAAAAGATTCTGTGTTTTTAAAACATTAACACATTGAATTTTTTGTACTGTTTCCAGACATGCTGCATTATTGACTTGCCATTACTGGCTTTGGACTGCTGGCTTGTCAGTTTTGAATTTCTTATGAACCCCTTGTTCCTGGTTAGGCAGTACTGTTTTAGAGGGAAAAAGTCATTTGGAAGGACTTTTGAGTTTGATTGTGTATGATGCAGCAAAGTAAGAAATTGTTAAGAATAGAAGGCGACTAGACTGAGGTGTTGTATTGACTTACCTCTACATCTGTGGCTTCCTTGCAGCACAGGAGAAAAGAGGGCATCTGGTTATCTTGTAAGTCAACTGTAGGAAAGGTAGATTCACTAATTAAAACAAGAATCTGTGTTTAAAAATAAATAACCCTCTTTTTGCTGAGAGTACACTGGATAAAATGCACATGCTTTACCAAGGTTGGAGGTGCACTGGTGTTTGGATTTGAGCACACTGGGCAATGAAGTCATTCCTGCACAGTGGTGATTCATTTATATATTGGTTTATTGAAAAAAGTAAAAGTATGTTAAATATTAATATACCCAAGAAAATAACTCAGTTTTGTAATTCGTTCCATTGTCTGCTTCTGTTTAAGGCTTTTCCTCTCTCTCTCATTTGTGGTGGGTTTTTTGGGGTTTTTTGTTTGGTTGGTTTTTACTTTATCCCTGAGATTTCCAAGTTAGCCCGAGGAAGTAAGATGTAATCCTGTGTCCAATGCATACCTTGCAGTAAATGAGATTTTAAAAATATAGGACTGATTCATTTAATATTGAATGCTCTTTTCTTCAGCCATGAACTTATAAACTTTATGCAGTGAGAAGTGGATATTGTGATGCTTTTTTAAATAATGCATATAGAGCCTGATGCAATGCAAAAGAAAATAATTAGAAAGACTTCAGCTTGCTCTAGAGCATGCTGTGAGCAGTTTTGTATGCATTTTGTCGTTCATTCTTCATTGTGCCTCTTCTCATCATTTGAAGCTGGTGCCACAGGCTTTTATTGTTCTGATGTGCTAGTTTTCCTTCCTCTTTTATTTTTCCCCTGAATTTAACTGTCTCCTCCATCCAAGCCATTTTGCAAATATCCACTAGGCTTTTTTTCAAAGGGACAAGATGTAGAAGGTGAGTGGGGAGAATGTCTAGCGTAAAATGGGATGAGACAGGAGGCTCCTTACAATCCTGGTGTTGACTATATGATTGTCCCAAAGTCCGTAACTTTCAGGTGTCCAAATAACAGCTCCCAAGCGTGATTACTAGAAGCAGTTAAATCTGACTTGGCAGCTCTGTTGAGCTGTGTGTTCTTTGGGCTGGCAGGAGGCAGTAGGGTTTCTAGAAAATCTGGGTGGAGAAAGGAGAAACAAGGTGAGTGTGGTAAGGTCCCCGAATGCTTTAAATGTGTACATAACAGGGACGGAGGAGAAACAGGCAGTGGCACTTCAAAGAGATGGTTTCTCTTTTTCCTTTCCACACCTTCCACACTTCCTATTTTCCAGGAGTACAGAATTCTCATCACTGACCTGCTGTTCCTTTCTGCAGTGTGCTCGGGACATATGCTGGTGGGACAGGGAAGTAAACACAGGAAATTTTAGTTGCAACAATCACAGAATTCCTTGCTTAACCCTGTCTGCACCTCTGTCCTTCTCTGTTGCTTATGAAGGAAGATGTGTCTGGGAGGAAAGACATCTAATTTCCACGCCAGTTTTCTCAGGAAAATTGTGTTTAAAAATAAGCAAAATGTGGACAGTTCATGGTGCTCGTTATAAGACACAATAAAAATGGGGGTTGTTTTACACAGACATTGTTCATTTCTCATGAGATAAAGATGATTCAATTTTAAGTACTGCTGTAGTCCATTTTCACAATGTTTGATGAATTTAACTCGATGTTTCCTTAAACAGAGTAGAGATAGGAAAAAAAAATGTTTATACATTACTTGTCAGCTTTGAAGTGCTTTTGGAACTAAACAGCATGTTCTTTTGCTGACAGGATTTGAAATCTAGCAATCAGCGAGATGAAATTGCTGCAGCACGTGCATCCCTGAAGGAAAATTCCTCTCTCTTACATTCAATATGTTCAGCTTGTTTGGAACATTCAGATGTTGCATCCCTTACAGCCAGCAAAGATTCAATTTGCAATGAAATACAGAATGCTCTCAATGTAATTTCTAATGCTTCCCAAGGAGTTGGAAATAAAATGGGACAACCTACATCTCACACAGCTACTCTTGGAAGTGCACTTGATGAGCTTGAGGTATGTAAATGGGACACTGCAACATTTCTGGAAAATCCTTAGGTTTGGGTGTTTTGTTTTGTTTTGTTTGTTTTTTTACTTAACTATTGCTATCATAAGTGATGGACCTAAAGGCATTAGAAATTGATGTTCTGCTTAGTCCTAGTCTAAATAGTGTTACTCTAAATTATTTCATTGGGAGGGATCACTTCCTTCAGAAGAGTTTGGATTTAAGTCTTCATGTATGTTCCACATTTGGCTTCCTTCGAACAGCAGGGAAGAATTAGTTCAAGATGCGTCACTAATGATGAAGACAGACACATCCTGGAATAAGTGGGCAGAGCCCGTGAGTTTAGTTTACAAACAACAGTGGTTATGAGATGGTGGTGATCGCTGTTACCTTCATTGCATTTGAACTAGTACAACGCAAGTTATGTAATTTATATAACTGAAGGATTTAGAAACTTAGTTATGTTTTCTGATTATCGTTAAATAAAGTGACATAACCAATATGCTTTCACAAATTGCATTTCTATTTCGATTATTTAAGCAAACACTTGGAGAAAGTCAGTTCTTTCTCTACTCCTGACCTGATCCTAAGCTTTTGTATGGAGCTTTCCCTTTTTCTCATAGCTGCTCTGGCTCTTTCCAGTGTTATTTTCCATTGTCCTGCCAAAAATGGTAAAAGACCTCCTGCATATGAGGTTACAGACTGTGCTCCTCATCTAGTGTAACTGATGTAGGCCTGGATCAACAAAAGGAACAAAAGTTTCTAAACACATTTGCAAATATGGGTCTTTTGGGGGGTAAATGCTTGAACTTACTAGATCTCAGCCTCGAAACTCCAATATTGTTGATACGTTTTCAGAAGAATTGATGTTATGACTGATGGTAATAGATTTTGTCTAAAATTTTCAATGAAAGGCTAGAGAAATACATTGAAATATGACACAAATCTTGCAGTAGCAGTTGATTGATCAAAATAGACCTCTCAGTCATGCTCAAAGTTCAATCTAACAGTTTTTTCCCCAAAAAAGGAACAGGTTGCAATTGTATGTTACATGTCATCCTTCCTTGCTTCTCACACTTGGTTACAAAATTATAGTTTCTAATTTATTTTCTTAATGAATGGAAGAAAAAAAGAAACATTTAAGAGTAATACATGATTTGTTACAATGAAACTCTGAATGACAAATTATATACTTCAAATGAGACCTATTATTTACCTGTTTTACTTACAAATTGTTTAAAGAAAGTTTGGCAAAAGGATTGCATCTTTTGACTGCAGATGAATTCATCTTGACTGTATGTGAGCAGTACCATTTTAATGATTTTCTTTTTTAAGTGTAATTAAATCTATTACTATTTTAAATTTTAAGGTTTGTGATAATCACAAAATGGAAAGAAATGTCTTTTGGATTTAATTTGTTTTTATTCACAAAGGTAAGAACATAGAAGTCTGACTGTTGTAAAAAGCCATTTGTTTATGGAGTTTTAATATATTTTTTCCTAGCTAACGTGAATGGGAATTGAAGCTGCGCGAGTTAGAGAAGGCACAATTAATAGAGCATTTAACTTCTTAAAATGATTTTGTGAATTAGAGGGTTGCACTTTTCTTTCCTTACAGAAAGTTCTATTGGCTGAGGACCTGAAATAACCTTTGCTCTATCTTCTTGTTGCAAATGCAGTGCCATGAAATAGATTGATGTAGTAAATAGTCTGTTGGGAACAAATCTCATTAAATGTTTATAGTGTGGAAATGTATCACAGAGCTTACCCAACAATCTAGTATCTAGGTGTTTTGCAATGTCATTCTTCCTTTGCCAGTGCTGGCAGTGTGAAAGTTATTACAGATTTATAGGTGGGGAAACCACCAGTAAAATTAGAGTCGCTAACTCTTAAATCAGTAGACTTTCAAGAATTCCTCTTAAAGACTCCATATAACTACCATAAACACAAAATTGTAATGTTACAAATGTAATTGCATATTAAGATCTGTGTTAAAGCAGCATGTAGGTGCAGGTTATCTAATACCTTTCACTGGTCTTGCATCTTCTGAATGAGAAGAGATTTCTCACAAAATGATACAGGTCTTGCATGCCTGACTCTGTCAGCGTATTCATCTGATATGTGCTCCTTTAATGACCATGGCTATCTAGCAGAGCAATTACATATGAGATGTCAAAACACTGTAAATCAGTCCAAAATGTCAGGAAACATAACCAGGTTTCTGTATACTCATGATCCCTCTTTTTCACAGATCAGAAGACCCATGAGAGAGAAAATAGGGACCTAATAACTCCTTTTAAATACTCACTCATGCTTGCTTGAGAACTCAGGCAGCTAACCACTGTTTAGCCCCGTTAAAGCAAAACCGCAGAATTGCTTGTTGCATATTTGGTGTCTTCTGATGGGTTGGAAGTTGGATCATCTTTTCTGCATAGATGTACTGATCATAAATATTTGGTGAAATTGCTTGAAGAATTAAATCTGCGGGCAGGATCTTAAGTCATATTTTCCTGGTTATTATTGCCTCGATTTTTTTTTTTTTAAATTTAGAGACGAACTGTGGTAGCTTTTTTTGCCAATGTTATTTCTCCATTTTGCATGAACTTTCTACAAACTGTTTCCTAAAGGGAGACATTTGTACTCCCATTTTGTCTGAGATTTGCAGGCAGTCATTTTGCGAACTGAATGGCTAATTGTCTGGAGCCTTCAGGTGTGTCTTCCACAATCAATGAAGCCATTTCTTTCTGTAGTAACATTTAAATATTCTACTTGGCAGGTGTGTTTTACATTATGATGGATGTTGTATCTACAGCCTAGTGTTGAGGGTGCTTACTTGAGATTTAGGAGCACAACAATGAAGTTGCTGCTCCAGTGGATAGTGATCAAGTGGCACAACTCCAGCAGAAGTGAGGTACCACAGAACACTTTGCTATTAAGGACTGTAATGTGAATGAGGGAGACAGACAAAATAAACACAATAAATAAAATAAACACAAATAACACAAACCTCTCTTCCACATCAGAAATGAATGTCCTGACCTCTGGAAATGGACTGTATCTTAGAATCTTATATATCTTGTCATTCTTAGAAGATCATCATGGACGAGTCTTTCATGTGTAAGATTAGTTTGAAATTGTCTATTGGGTGTAAGTTCATTATAATCTTTTTTTTTAAAAAGGTCAATTATTAAACATTAATGACTAGTTTTATGCAGTTTTCCAAATCTATATTAATATGCTAGCTATTAAACTTAATGCTTTTTCATTTTTAATTTTGCTGTGTCTTTGGATATAGCCAAAGTAACGAAGACCTAGATAATGCAGTCATTAGACACTTGTTATGCAGGAAAACACAATTACTACTGCTGAGAATTTTGATTCTGCTTTTAAAGTTATGCATTCTTACTTAGAGAGGTGACAGCTGAAAGGGGTTAATTTCCCCTGCATTTCAGAGTCCTTAATGGCACTTCTTACCACTTCTTTACAATTTCTTTTACTGCATTTCCCTAATTTCCTGCAATGCACATTGTGTTTGAGACATGTAGTAACTTAGTTTGCCTCCAGGTAAATCGGGTATGGTTTTCCTTTGCATTCAGCCATAATCTCCCTATTGTACGGAATCTTACTCTAACTTAATCTAAGGTTGCATCTGCTGGATGCACATAAACACCTGACATAGATAGACGCATAAACCATTTTAATGGTCTATCCTGTCACTTGTTGAAATAAGTCCTAAGTGAAACTTAGTTTTAGACTTTTTATAGTCTCTCAGAATAGACAACAGAAAATTGCAGTAGCAGTAGCACTGGCCTGATTTTTTGTGATACTCTACAGTGGTATGAAAATCCCCAAATTCAACACGGAACATATGAAGACAGACAGAAATTCACTAGTACCTTTTCTTTCTAGTAATTGTCTGTGAAAATTTGAGGGCTAGAATTCATGTAGTCCCGGCTTCTGGTACAAAGCATAACATAATCCTAGAACTTTAGGCCCCAGAAGGTCTTACAGAGGTTGTTTAAGAAGGTTCATTGTCCACTGATTTTATGTGTGTTAGTAGGTACTAAGTATGGGGCTGAAGTGCTGAGAGTACTTAAATAACTGGAATACTTTTAAATGAGATGGAATACTTTAGGGCAATGAAACAGTAGTGGAGGTGGAATGTTTAGAAACCTACACTGATCCTGCAAGTTGAGAAATACAAGCTTCTATTTGAACGACACCATAATGCAGGAAGAACCTGCACTGGTTTCCTTTGAAATATTCAGATTATGAGGTCTGATTTTTCTCTAGCTTTGCTGGAGAATCTCCCAGCTGTCTCAAAACAATTTTTGTGTATTTCAGAAAACATGGGAGGATTGAACATATAACAAAGTCTTCCTTTCCCTAAATCATACCTAATGTCTAAGAGAATGTTAAAAACAACCAACAAGAAAATGTCAAGGTGACTGAAGTCCCCTTTCCTAGCTGTTTAAGCTTTTATCTTATGATGTTCTAATAGAACGCTTTCACTGCTCCTAGAATTGCCAGAGCTAGACAGTGCCCAAAATTGTGATATTAAATAAAAATTGAAAAAATAATTAAAATTCTCCAGCTTAAAAGTAGTCCAGCACATACTGGATAAGCACAGATAAGTTCTGATTTACCTGACCTAAATTCCACTTAAGGGTATATGGCTTAGTTTTCTTGATTAATATTTCTTCTGAAAACTGGGAACCACATATGGATGTAACAGGTGAATGGATTTATGTGGACTGTAGGCTTGGCGATCTGGACCATAATGACACTGTTTCAGATGTTCAGATAGATTAAAAATTACTAGTTTGAATTTCTTTAAATGCTAAAGCTTGAATATACTTACTTTCACGTTTCATGAAAATATCACCTCTCCTTTTCTTTCTCTTTAGAATATTTGCTTGACACACAAATGTAATTAATTTTATCATGCCTAAACAGTTATCTACTTTTTTCACCCTAGCTAGTGAGAAGCAAGAGGACACTTATATCCATGTCCTTTGAAAAAACAATTGTTGAACGTAAGCTACTATTTGGATCTTTGCCCATATTCAGCCTGTGAAAGGTGGTCGCAGCAGTGACTTTCTGCCCCAGTGTGGGACTGCATTAGACTAAAAATCAGCAGAACTAGACTGCTCATGTAATCTGATGTAACATTCTGAGCTGTGAGCTAGCACTGCTGGTTTTGTGTTAAATCCTGAGGTCCTCTTGATCTCCAATAGTCTAAATTTTGGAGGTGTTGAACCCCTCTTCCAAACAAAACTGAGACTCTGGTGTAAGATACTTAGATAAAGCACGGAATATTGCTGAGTAGTAAACTCATACACCGTGCCATAATCATACATAGAAATTACAAGCTTAGTATAAGATACATATCTTCTTTTGAAGAATTTAGAAGGTGAATATACAAGACAGGGCCACTGTATGGGTGGATAAGGAAGACAGATGACCCTCAAGAAGTGTAGACAGACACAGGAAAGAGTTTGAAAGAAGAAATACTTTTTTTACAACCGCAGTGACAAAACTTAAAGAGGAAAAACAATGCTGGCTGAGAGCTTGGGAAGATGGCACACAGTTGCCTGTTTTAAGACATACTTTCTGTGTGGCTGTGAACCTGGCAGTCTGGGCCTTAGTTCTTTGCTTATAAAATGGGGTTGACAGCTTTCCGTTGCAGAGTGGGATAGATACTGCAGTGATAAGAATGCATGCATATTTACAAAGGTAGACAAATATCATTTCTGTTTCCGGAAGTGAAATGCCTTGTAGAAGAAAAAACGTCACATACAGGTGTAGGAGAGACTGAGGGTGAAAATCCTTAATCTCATGCAGCAAAAGTAGGAAACAGAGGAAAGACTCAGAGACAAGGCAGTTGGAGTCAGAAGATGTCAACATGGCTTGCAGGCAGATGTGATCTTGTTCTACTTGTTCTGTGAGCTCCTTAGGTGTGAACCAGCTCCAGCTGGAAAGCTCTGTTCTGTCTTAGCACTGTGTCCTGGCCAGTGGGATTTGACATCATCGATATTGGCTTAGAACTAGTGAGATCTGAATGGCAGAGATAACTTGGCTTTGTCTGCAAATGACCTGTATGCGTAGCCCCAGTAGGGAAAATGGGATCTGCTATGGTCAAAAGTATTTTGGATACTTCAAAGGGAAAAGACTAGTTGGAAGTCTAGGGAGCATAATGTCACTGTAGTTCATGCAAGTGAAAAATAAAGCAGCAAGTTAATTGGGCTGACTTTTCTTACCTGTACTCCTTATGTTTTCCAGAATTTAATTATCCTGGATCCTCTTGTAGTGAATGAAGAGAAAATAAGGCCATCACTAGAGAAACGTCTGGAAGCTATTATCAGTGGAGCTGCTTTGCTAGCTGATTCTTCCTGCACACGCGATGTTCATCGAGAACGCATCATTGCTGAATGCAATGCTATCCGCCAAGCTCTCCAAGACCTGCTGTCTGAATACATAAACAATGTAGGTAACCAGACCTTTTTCCATTTTTAATGTCTGCCTCAAAGCCCATTTTAGTGTACATCAGAATTTAACCTATAATTAGTGTAAATTAGAGTTTAACCTGTATTTCTCAACATGCTCTTTAAAAGGTTGAAAGGAGCATTTTTCTGCATAAATCTAAGCAAAAGCTAAATACAGATCTCCAGAATGAGTATGGATTGTATTATATCATACAGACCATGGAAAATGCTGCACTACAGATACAATGTACACACGTTTAGGTTATTTTATGCTTATTGTGAACTGTCACTAGTACAGAACAGACATAATCCTTTGTATGCTAGCAACAAGAGTTTCTTCATAATCTCACTTCCTAGACCAGAGTTTTAAAATGTAATCTCTGTTCCTGTAGAATGCAACAATTTAATAATTTGTTAAATTGTAAGTAATCTCATTAGTATTATTTTAAAGTAGAGTGTTCACACCACTACATTTGATGTGTGTAAGAGCACCATGTTGCAATTGTAAAAATTATTTAATTGCTAAATTAGAAAGCGAGGAGTGTTTGGTAAATCCAGAAATCTAGTTGTCTGGCATGCTTATAGGCCAATTCATCTGTGAATGTTTGAAAAGGATTATGGTTTGATTGTGTTGTAAAAATAACTACTAGATTTAAAGAATGGATTTGGCATGTCTTACGTCTGGCAGTTAAATGATAAAACAGTGGAGACTTGGATACTATTAATATGGGTACATAGCGTTAATATCATGATTTTCCTCTGGAAACATTTTCTGTAGACATACTGTTCTTACCTAAAGATAATTCAAGATGATTCATCAAGCACATTGAGGGAATAATTGCATGACACAGCTATTTTTTTCTTTTTTTGGGAAGCTGAAATTTCTTTCTATTCTGTAAGTCATACTAGTTAACTTAGTCTAAAACTGTTCTTTTGAGACTGTTTTCTTTGTCTTAGCCTATTGTCACGAGGATAATGAAGTGTAGGGACTAAGATTATGCATATCAGACTTTTTTTTCATTTCACAGATATTGTACTTTTGGATATTTTCTCTTTATTGGGGGCAGGGTGGAGGTGGAATTTACAGCTGACTTATTTAATTTTCTGTGAATTCAAGCTGCTCTTTCAGTCCCTATACCAGATAAAGATGCTTTCATATTTTTACTCAAAATTTAGCTGCAGTTTCTATTTGAATGCAACATAATTCTTGAACCTCTCTGGTGGTGGGTTGTGGTTTTGGGGTTTTTGCGTTTTGTTTGTTTGTTTTACACATGGGTTAGCTATGTGAGATTTCTGGTAGGTTAGCTTAGAATGTTAGTCTTTGGTACCTTCTTGTAGCAGATGTCTATTGCAATGTCTGTTTTAGGGTGCATCAGGTTTGCTGTTAAAGGGCTGGAAGATTAATAAGGGAAGGCATCAGCCTTTAGTGGTTGGACTCGATTATCTTAAAGGTCTATTCCACAGAATAAATGATTCTGTGATTCTAACCTGTCATAGCCGGAGCATGTGGGAAGATGCAACTCTGGTGTATCGCAACCCATAATAGTCCAAAAGATCACTGTGGGTTTGTCGCAAGAACACTTTACGGGAATTCTGTGTCTTGCAGGAGTAAAACTACATGAATGTAAGTCAAATGATCTTCTTGGACTCTTGAAACAAAATTGTGGTTATCTTTTCTATTTCAGAAATAATCATGGGTTTAGGGTTACCTAATGCAGACCAAGGGGAAAAGAAGAATATATAACCCACTCACTGACTTGAGAAAGTCAGGAAGCAGCTATTTTAATATGCCAAAATGGAAAGTGTCATATAATTTGCTGCAGAACACAGTGTCTGCACAAGGTGGTAAAGATGAGGAGGGAAGCAGAAAGGAAGAAATACAAAAGATTTAAAGGTATGAGGTGTTATACTAGGGTTAAATGACAGGAATGAAATTAAAGTTTTTAGTTTCTTTTAGTCCTCTTGATCTACTTAGACAATTAATATTGATCTCAATGGAAAAACTCTCACCAAGAACAGTTTATGGCTATTACTGAGACTGGATTAAGTAAGTTTTTCAGTGAGAAGATTATCAGGTGTCAGTCACTTTATTTCACAACTCTAACTCACTGAAGAACAGATGATAGATCCAGGAGACAGTGCAGATTTATCACTGTCTTCTGGGCTCTTCTATTAATAATTTCAATAAGCTTGGACTGTGAATTGAATGAGCTATGAAAATTATGCCAGCCACTTGTTAACATAGTACAATTTAAGGACTAGGTTGTGATTCCCTTCCTTTCCTTGGGAACACTGTTGTACTTCACAAGCAATTGCACTGTCTACATAATACTTCATGTGAGTTTATGTGTATTTGTGCCCTATGCCCGGAGTGAGACACAGAGGCTCTGTACAACAGTTTGTACATGAGGGTGAAAAGTTTTCCTTGTCCACTATCCACAAAGGGCATGCTTTTGCTCCTGTCTTCGTCCTGATGGTGTATGGTTCACAAAACATAGCCTACCCACTGTCATTTCAGTTCTTTTCAATCACTTTCATGAGTTGTAGTAGTCAGCTGCTTGGAAGATTTTTTTTTTTTTTTCTGGATACGTGTTTGTCCTTTCTTGCTGGTATATTGGTTTGATTACTTTTCTTAAGGCTTCTTGCTGTCTGAGTGCTGCTAGTGGGAGCTGCATTGCTTCAGAGACACCACATACCGTAGGTGCCACCTTTGCAAATCCTTTAACAGCCGGGAAGCTGTATGAGCTGCAGTAGCACTGGTAACCTCCAAAGTTATCTCTAAAGCCCCTGGGTCTGGTGCTGATGGTACATGTGGCCTGCCTGGTAAGTGTTTAGCTTTAATGAGATCATTGCCAAGGACCTGAGTGCCTAAATTCTGTGTAAGTTCTGCATCGGTGTTTTTTTTTGTTTTTGTTTTTGTTTTTTTTTTTTTTTTGGAAACTAGCCCTTAGTGCCTGAACAAATGTACAGGAACTTATGATTTAGCTCTATTTGAAACAGTATAAGGAATATATCTTTTGTGGTTCCTAATTTTTTTTTTTTAAATTATTCTAAGGCTCTAAAAAGCTTTGAGGACATCAAGTGAAAACAAGGGGCCTATTGGTGTCAGTAATAAAATTCAGAGTGTTTACTGCAAGCTGGGAGAAACATCTTTTCAGCAGATACTGCCTTTTCTGTAAGTGGCTGTTTTTCACAGAGGCTATATCACAGGTGATGCAATGGAAAGTTAAGCAAAATGTTCTCTACACTGATGAAGACCCAGTCTGTCTCCAAGAAGCTTTAAGTTTTTCTATTCACAAAGCAATTCAGACAATTGCAAATTGCAAATACATTTATAATTCCTCTGAAAGGCAGCAATTTTTCTTCTGGTATTTTGGAATTATTTGTGTACTATTGTTATTTGAATTTTATTCATAGACATATATTGTTAAGGGATATATTTGCGTTTCAGGACATCAAATAACAGGAATTACAACTGTGAGTTTGGATAGCTTATTAATGGCAGAATCATACTATGGTGTGTGGATAATAATGCATCTGTAGGAGCAATCATTTTGTTCTAGTAATAAGCACTTGCATTTTCCTAATGACAAGCTCTTGTCTTGTCTCTGCTCATCCTTTAAATGAAAAGTTATTGAATACATTGGAGTACAGCGATACTAACTCCACGTTTCTTGAGTTCTCTGTCTGCTTTTTAGTCCCAGTCACAATAGGGATATGCGCTTATCTGGGTGATCAGAAGGGATAATAGACTTGTGATTGAATGTGGGTTAAAGTGACTGTTGTGAGCAGCAGTTAGGATGATTGCAGGCACTGCTTTCTGTGCCTTCATTAAATAGGGTGGGTATGTCTCAATAATTATTCTGCACCCACCTGTGGGTTTGAATAAAGGTCACTGGCTAGATTGTTCAGACAAGGCTGAAAAAAGATTGATGAAGAAAGGTCAGATATGCTGATAGCTGCTTTCTTGAATTAGTTTCCTTACTTTTGGAATGATGTTTCATGATATTTGAGCTTTATTAGTTTTGCAGCTTATTCTGAATATTGGTTGTTGTATAACACACTGTTATGCGTGCTGGGCCAGTGTACTTTATTCCTTTTCTGATAGGGTGTGATTTCATTCTTTCTTTTTGTGTATTTCAAAGCCTTCTGTTTCCTTACTGGAGTTTTATGTTAAAATTACCTAAGTTTTTTGGGTCAAATAATGTCAGTAAAATAGTTTGCATTTCCATTGTCATTTTCAAAGGTTTTGCATGTTTTCAAGACTTCTATCTTTAAAAATAGTTTCAAAGGAAAATCTGAAACACTGAGATCTGAAAATACATTTATAAAACCAATATTATTTTGTTCTTTTTAAATACATTAGCCAACTTCATGCAGATTTGAAAAATGCATCAGTGCAGCAGAATAATTTCTCTTGTTAAAAATATTTCACAGAATATTTCACACACTATTTACAGAAATGTGTGACTGTGCAAACTAGCAGCAACTTAATAATTTTGTCTGCAGTTCTGGACATCTCTGTGCTTCTTGTGCCGCAGGTGGTGGTGGCTGCTGCTTGCTGTACCATGTATGTGGCACTGCTATACCGTGTGTGGCACTGCTATACTGGGTAGCATGGAGTAGAGCCAAGCCAGCCCTTCTCACACCAGTGGTGGTTTCAGTTGCTTAATGAGATATTTAAGAAAATGGGAGCAGACTAATGATATGTTTTACCTTGAGGCCAGATCAGGAAGTGGGCTGAGGTTGACCGCTTTGTGTATATTTATATTACCTATCTAGGGTACTGATAATCAAGCCCTGACCATCCCTGTAGCCTAAGGGTAGGCCAAGCTGAGACTTAACTATAAATCTCTTCTGCTTTGTGGCAGACAGCATCAGACCGTTCCAGGAATGATGCTGCAAGGGAGATGAAGTAGTTGATGGTAGACGGTGAAGCACCTGTATTGCGTGTAAGGCATACTTGAATCTCAGCGGGAATGTAGCTGCTGGAGCTTTATT